CAGCTCTTTCCCATCCCAAGCCAGTAGTCCTGCCAAGCTGCAAAGGATTAGCCAGATGGTTTCAGCCACTGGGCCACACAGGCACAACCATCCTTTCCACCAAGAGTAGCCACCAGGCTTTCTACATTTAAGGATCCAGAACTTGGGTAGGAACCACTGACTGGGCAGCCAGCACTCTACCATAATGAGGATGGGTACAGGCTAGAGAGTACAGGAAGGGGCAAGGAAGGTGCCTGCCTTTAGAGGACTCTATACTTGGACTCAGGAATGCAAACCTTAACCCCAGTCAGATCCAGCCATCAGCCTGCTTTAGTAGGCATTTGCCTAGAATCCCCCAGTGAGAGGCTGCAGTGTGGCTCAGTGGTAGAGCACCTGCCTAGAATCCCCCAGGGAGGGGCTGGGGTATGGTTCAGTGGTAGAGCATCTGCCTAGAAGCCCCCAGGGAGGGCCTGGGGGTGTGGCTCAGTGGTGGAGCACCTGCCTAGAATCCCTCAGGGAGGGCCTGGGGGTATGTGGCTCAGTGGTAGAGCACCTGCCTAGAATCCCCCAGGGAGGGCCTGGGGGTGTGGCTCAGTGGTAGAGCTCCTGCCTAGAATCTCCCAGGGAGGGCCTGGGGGTGTGGCTCAGTGGTAGGCCTCCTGCCTAGCATACACAATACCCAAGGTTCAAACCTAATACTGACACCAAGAATGGTGGTGGCACATGCCTTTAATCCCAGTCCCTGGGAGGCAGAGGCAGGTGGATCTCTGTGAGATCAAGGCCACCCTGGTTCACATCATTATTTCCAGACAGGCTGTGACTACAGGGAGACCCTGTCAAAAAAAAACAAGAAACAAAAAAAATCAAACTCAATACTCTAAAAAAAAATAAATAAAAATGGGTAAGCGAACTGAACAGACACTTGCCCAAAGACAACTTAAAACATGGACAAAGAATATGAAGATGTCCACTGTCAGCCAAATGCTAACTAAATCACAACGACAAAATGCACTTTTTTTGTTTTGACTATTTGGGTTTCTTGGGGGCTATTTCTGGTTTTGGTTGGTTTTTTTGCTTTGTTTGAGACAAGGTCTCATGTAGCCTAGGCTAGCTTCCAACTTGCTATGTAGCTGAGGATGACCTTGAATTTATAATCCTCCTGCCTTTACCTCCTGAGTGCTCCTAGGAGTTCAGCCGCACACCACCACACTAGGTTTCTGTAGTGCTGAGAACAGAACCCAGGACTTTGTGCCTGCTTGGCAAGCGCTCTACCAATGGAACCTGCCCAACCCCAAAGTGTGTGCTTTAAACACTGCTGTCTACTATCTCAACTGTACTTCAATGACGTTGTTCTCGAACAATACATGCACAGCCAGCTGTGGTCTGCATGCCTGTAATCCTGGCACTTGGCAGGCTGAGGCAGGAGACTGTCCAAAGTTCAAGACCAACCTTTCAGGAACAAAACAGTAAGACAGGGCTTTGGTGTAAAATACTGACAGCAAGTTCAGACACACAGAGCCCCAGCTGCTCCTGAGGCCACGGCACTGGCAGGGTGACTGTGACAAGCTGCTCTGTCACAGGTTCACAGACAATCACACATATACCACAACACACTACGGCAACCCCAGCACTGAGGTCTCACCAGGGATAAAGCACAGGAAAGCTCACACTGATGCCAACAGCATGTTCCCAAGACCCCTGGCTAGAAGTGAGTCCAATGTCCAGACTATGTGCACAGGCAAACAAATGTGTGGGGACTGCAGAGCAGGAATCTGCAGCCATAAGGATGGAAGATAGAGGACAGCAGAGACAGTTAGCAGAGCATGGAGAAGACCTGATCTCCCATAGCACAGCTCCAAGGAGCCGTAAGGCCCAGTGTGTGAGTGATGAATCTGACTTTAGCCCAAAGGTTAGCCGTATGTGATGCACTAAGAAAAGTTACCCGTATGTGATTCGGTGGCCTAACACTACAGAGAATCCATTAAGAAAAGTGATGTAGGGACTGCAGAGCTGGCTCAGCAGTTAAGAACACTGGCTGCTCTTGCAGAGGACCCAGGTCTGGTTCCCAGGACTCACGTGGCAAGAAAAGCAAAGGCACTGAGGTGCTGCCTGTGAAGTCTAGCAACCACTCCCATGTCATGATGAAAGACAAGCGCAGTCACTGTCCCACAGCACAACATGGCCAGGAGGGACTTAGGCCAATTCCACCCTATCAAGTTCCTCACCTCGCCTTCCTCAGCAGCCACAGGCTATGTGCCTACTCAACACACATGAGATGGCTCCCATGCAGCCTGACCTGGATGGGTAGGCCTACTGTGGATAAGAAAGGTAACCCTGGGGAGCTGGATGCCACTGGCTGGCAGCTGTGAGCATATTCTGTGTGTGTGCATTCGTGCATGTGTATGTGTGTGCAAGAGGAGGCCAGGAGTCAATCCGGGTTCCTCAGGGGTCATGTCAACATTCATTAATTTTGGTTTTGTTTTGCCTTTTTTTTTTTTTTTTTGAGATAGGGTCTCTCTGTAGCCCCAGCCAGACCAGCCTTGATCTCACAGAGAGATCTGCTTGCCTCTGCTGGGATTAAAGGCATGCACCACCACACCCAACATCAACCTTGTTCTCACTGGCCTAGAACTCACCAAGTAGGCTCTTGTAGTAGGAAACTGGCTCTGGAAGAACTAAAGCGGTCGAGGCAGAGCTTGGGGCCCAGGCTCCAGGAAGGGCTTCCCAGAGCACACAAGGGCAAGAAGCCTGTGGTCCAGGGGACTGCCCCAGAGCAGGGATGCCCCATAAACTCCAACCTCCCAAGCCTGTGAATCTGCTGCCTGACGGACTTCAGGCAGGAAGGGGAAGGGGCCAGGCAATGAGGTCCAGTAACCAGGCTAACTAGTAAGGTATTCTGAACTCTCTCCCTGTGTAGGAGCATCACAAACTGCCTACTTCTCCAGGGTCTCAGGGACAGGGACGGAAGCAGGGCCTTGGGGGAAGTGAACACACACTCCAGGCCTCAGTGCTAGTACCCAAAGGCCAGAGCCCAGGCAAGCAGCAGCCCTGCATGGCCTGGGCCCAGAGCCCCAACTACAATTTGAGCTCCATGGAAACCGCTCCCCAAGGGGCAATGAAGTTCCCAGCACTTGGGGACACTTGGGCGGTCCTGGCGCAGACCTGTGGGAAGTGGCTGTGCAGGCCCCGAGAACTCCCCAGATGGATGCTGGGAGAACAACAGAGTGGCCCAAGTGGGGACAGAAAGGACCAGCCCAGTACTTTTCCGTGAGCTTGGGGTGTAGGGACTACCATTCCATGGGCTTCACGACCTACCCTTCTTGAACCCTTATGTGCTCCCTATTTTTTCTCTAAAACATACGCCTGACACATTTTTCTAACTATTTCCCATGAGAACCAGAGGCCTGGGAGAAGAAACGTTTCTATCCACTGAGACCAGCATGCATTCCGAGCAGACAAAGGCCCCATTTTGTTTTAAGAGCAGCTTCCAGAAACACAGTAAGGAAGTCTAAGGACATAAATCCCTAAGCCACAGCTCTAAGTCACAATGGCCACAAAGAAAGGCCGCCTAGCAGCCCAGGACCGCACCCTGGTCTCTACATCTCCTTCCAGCAGAAGTGTGGCTGCCGACCCCTGCTGGCCAGTCCCCTGCTGGCCAGGCCACCAGGGTACCACCCCACCAATGACTCACAAGGAGACCAGAGCACCCTGGTCCCCTCCAAAGACCCACAGAACAGCCCACTGTTTCCTCCTCTCAATGCCTATGCCTGAAAAACCAAACAGCCATGACTCTTGGAAGCTCCAGGCTATATAGACCAAGATCTAGCATAGGACAGAGGATGACATGTCTGAAACATCTGCCTTCCTCCTCTTCCAAAATCCAAAAACAGCAAAACCAAGGCTAACCCAGTCCCCACAGGGCATGGATGACCTTCTGACACCTGGAAAAAAAGCACTGGGAAGCTGGATGGAGCTGTGAGGTAGAGAGACTACTTTACATGGGTAAACCCTGGGGTCTACTGCCAGTCCTGCAAAAAGCAAACGCCTTGCCAGGGGTGGTGGCACACAACTATAATTCCAGAACTCTGGAGGCTGAGGCAGTGGAATTGCAAATTTGAGGCCTGACTGTGGTATGGAACGAGGTCCTGACTCAAAAAAAAAACCCCATATACACAAAAAAATCTTGAAAAGTTCAGCCACGTCATCACACACTGCATGTCTAACCAGAGTTTATTTTATGTTGATTGAAAAAAGTTGAAATATTAACATATGATGCTGTTTGGAGGACCATGAACTACTAACTGTAAAGGCAGCTCATGTCAAAGAAAAAGTTCAACATGAAACTTCGAAAGTAATAAAAAAGATTTAAAATTTTCAAATGTAAATGTGATCTGCATACACACATATTTGTGGCAGACAAGCGTTAAGGAGGGTGAATAGAACCACACATTTCGCATTATTCACGCACTCCCTTGGGTATTAAAATCAACTATTTAGACCAGTAAGATGGCTCAAAGCCTAAAGACCTAAGCTTGATCCCTTGGAACCCACATGATGGAAAGAAAGAACCAACTCATGCAAGTTGTCTTCTGGCCTCCACACACATCATGGCATGCATACTCACATACACAAACATAATAATGTAATAAAATGCTGGCTAAGCATTCTACCACTGAGCCATGGCTCTGCCCCTAGACTTGAGCTTTTAGACCTAAGTGTCTGAGCCACGCCCCAGGTACACGTCAGGGAGGGAAGCAGTATCCTTTTCTGCCCATGTGGCCACCTCCTGAGAAGCACGGCCAGTCCCACACCCCTAGCCTCCACCTGGTCAGGCCAGTCCATCACGGACCCCAGTAAACAGTACCCACACAGCAGCCTGCACCTGCGGTGGCTAGAGAGGGAAGGCCAGCCTAACAACTGCCAATTCCTCTGTCCAACAACTGCTCCAGGAAGCATTGGTGTGTCCACACATGGTTTATGCCATGCTGTGTCTGGTCCACGCAGAGGTGCTGTGGCCTTACCTTAGAGCTGGCTTCCACCTTGCCTGGCCTGACTTCAGGTGCCTGTGACATCTCTTCTTCTGGTGTCTTCTGCTTTTTGCTCCTCTTTTCTGTCCCTTGGGGACCTTTTCTCTTTCGTTTTGTCATTCTGGAAGAACGAAAGCATAGTGCTTTATTATAGGCAGTAAGAGGCCTTGTGACACAAAGTATTGTATTTTGAAACAAAGTGGAGTGGGCACTCTTCCATTAGAACAGAAATAGAGGTAAAATATGTTCAACATGGCTAGCAGGGAGATGGCTGCCGATCAAGTGCTTCCTGCTCAAGCACAAGGACTTATATTAGATCCTCAGGGATCATGTAAAAAGCTAGGCATAACAGTGCATGCCTGGAATCCCAGAGCTGAGGAGGTGGAGACAAGAGAGAGAATCCTGGACCTTGCTGGCCAGCCAGCTTTGCCAAATCCATGAGCTCCATCCAGGTTCATTGAGAGACCATGTCTCAAAAAATAAGCTGAGGGGCTGGAGAGACGGTTCAACAGTTAAGAGCACTTACTGCTCTTCCAAAGGACCAGAGTTCAGGTTCTAGCACCCAGGTCACATGGCTCACAACTACCTGTAATTCCTGATCCCTCTTCTGGCCTCCAAGAGCACTGCACTCACAGGCATAAACACATACACACACAATCAAATTTTTTAAAATATTTTATTATTTTTATTTTATGTGTATCCATGTATTGCCTGCATGTAGGTAAGTGCACCTGTGTCATGCAATGCCTGCAGAGGACAGAAGAGACCGTCAGATTCCCTGAAACTGGAGTTATAGACAGTTGTTAGCTGCCATGTGGGTGCTGGGATTCGAACCCGGGTCTTCTGCAAGGACAGTGTTCTTATCTGCTGAACCATCTCTCCAGCCCCCACAATCAATTTTTTAAATAACATTTTGATGTGAAGCAATGAAGACACCCAATGTTGAACTCTAACCTGCAACCACATGCATGCATATATGTATACACATGTGCATACATGTTCAAACACATGCACACGCAAAATGGCAAACATATAAAAGTTAAAAGAAGGCCAAATTCCTAGGTCATTACCAGTCAGACAACATGGCTACCCCCTTCCTCTTAGGTGTTTTACCAGCCACAGTCAGACAGAGCACAAGCTCCCTATCTCTGTTTTTGACACAGGGTCTCACTAAGTCACTTAGGCTGGCCTGGAGCGCACTCTGCAGTCCAGACGGGTCTTGAACTTGTGGCTCTTACTGCCTTCACTCCCACTGCTGGGATTACAGGCCTGCGTCACCATGCCTGGCAGTGTTTCTAATGTCACAGAAACATAGGGCTCTTAAGACAAACACCTTTACTGACAGGATCACCATTTTCCAAAGGCAGAGATCTGCCTGCTCCTTAACCATTAAATATTTGGGGTCATTTTTATCTTCCTCAGTTATAGGCTAATTCATACCTGACATGAGCTGTGGCAAGTATTGTGCCCCATCCCAAGCACTGAGCCACCCACCGGTGGCAGCGGCCCAAAGCCATTTCTAACACCTGAAGCTAGACATGAGACCTGGGACGCATGTAGGTCCACGGCAGAAAAAAAGGGAATCCCACAAAGAGAAAGCAGATTTCCAAGCCAGGCATGGTGGCACACACACCTGTGATCTCAGCATACAGAGGGAGGAAGATCACAGAAAGTTCAAGGCCAGCCTGGGCTTACATAAGTGAGACTGCCTTTAAAAAAGTGATCATGTCCGGGCGTGGTGGCATACACCTTTAGTCCCAGAACTCAGGAGGCAAAAGCAGGGGGATTTCTGTGAGTTCAAGGTCAGCCTGGCCTACATAATGAGTTCCAGGCCAGCTGGGGCTACAGGGAGACTCTGTCTCAAAAAAATAAAAAAAAAACAAAACAGTGATCATGAGGCTGGAGATGCAGTCAGTGGTAGAACACAAGGGCCTGGGCTCAATTCCTAGTGAAAAATGGAATAAGACGGGGCTGCTCTTTCAGTTCACCCCTCAGCACCCACTTTCGGCAGCTCACAACTGCCTGTAACTCCAGCTCCAGGGGATCTGACATGCTTTTCTGGCCTCCACAGCACCTGAGTGAGCGCGCGCGTGCACACACACACACACGTAGACAAATAGAATAAATCTTAAGATGTTTTAAAAGGGTGATGACTGCGGGGGGGACAAGAGCCCTGAGGAACGAACACCCTCAGATCCCAAACCTGCAGTCAAATAGCACTGTCTGTGCAGAGCAGTGGAGAACCAGCAGCCCAGGTGAGCTGCACCAGGGTGACCCTAACCCACAGGGGGACTGCCTACGGCACATGGAAAAAATAGCACAATTTTAGAATCAGAAAATTCCAAGCTCTGTATTTTTTAATTAAGCCTCCTCATTTAAGGGGGAAAAAAAGTGTTTGAAGCCAGAGGCTACAAATTTCAATTAGCACCGTAATAAAAAACCTTCTAAAAGAAGAACAGACTATTGACACAGGGTGACGCTGGCCAATTACCTCGTTAGCGAAATAAGAAAAGTTCAGCAAATATTTACACACCGCTTATAAGGAAAGTGAAACCTACATTCATCCTGTAAGTCAGCATTAAAAACTGTAATCGCTAAGTGTATTTGCGAAAATGAAGAAGAAGACTTTTCCGTATTACTCAGCGGTTGCTGCTCATAGTTCTAAGAGATAGCGACTCAAACTCTGAGGGACAGGGGATGGCATGTTTGCTCTAGAAAACATTTGCTTTCTTTTCTGGACTTTCAACAAGGGTGTCACGATGACTCAAGGAGTTGACATCAAGCACTGCTGGGACAGCTGGACAGCCACATGTGGAGAGTGCACATGGCCCCTTCTTCACACCACACACAGAACTGATTCCAGATGGACCAAACCCTAAGTGTAAGAGCCCAGACTGGAGGATCTTAGAAGTCACAGGCGTGAACCCTCATGATTCAGACTACACCGTCTTCTGTCAGATAAAACACCAAAAGTGAAGCAGCCAAAAAATAAACTGGAGTACCTCAAAACTAAAAACTTCTGCCCTGTGAACTACTGGAGCAGGAAAGCAAAAGAAAGCATCAGAGGGTGCATCTGCATGTCAGACACCTGACAGCAGATCTGCATGTAGGGTACGTGACTTCAGTGGGGCAGCAAGATGGCTCAGCAAGTAAAGGTGCTTGCCGCCAAATCTGATGCTCTAAGTTCGATTCCTGGAACCCACATGGTAGGAGTTCTAACTGACTCCTCCAAGTTATCCTCTGACCTCCACATGTTCGCTGTGGTACATGCACACCGATACACAGAATAAATAAAATGCAATTTGAATTTTAAAAGAATTTTAGGGGGCGGGGCTGGAGAGATGGCTCAGGGGTTAAGAGCACTAACTCTTGCAAAGGACTCGAGTTCAATTCCCAGCACCCATACGGTGACTAACAAGTGTACTGTAACTCCAGTTCCAGGGGACCTGATGACCTCTTCTGACTTCTGTGGGCCTTGCATGACATAGGTGCACTTACATACATGCAGGCAACATACTCATACACATAAAATAAATAAAATGTATATACATATATATTTTTTGAGACAGGGTTTCCTATAGCCCCAGCTGGCCTGGAACTCATTATGTAGAACAGGCTGGCCTTGAACTCACTATGTAGACCAGGCTGGCCTTGAACTCACAGAGATCCACCTGCCTCTGCCTCCCAAGTGCTGGGACTAAAGGCATGCGCCACCACGCCTGGCTTATAAAATATTTTTTTAAAAAAGAATTTTAGTGGGGAAAGAGATGGCTCAGTTGGCAAAGAACTTGCAATGCAAAACTGAAGACCTAAGTTTGAGCCCCAGAACCTACACAAAAAAGTTAACTGTAGCTGTGTACACCGGTAACCCCAGTGTTGTGGGAGGCAGAGATAGGAGGGTGGCTGGGGCTTGCTGGCCACTAGCCTGGCTCCAGGTTCAGCAAGAGACCATGTCCCAAGGGAATAAGGTGGAGAGTAAGAGAGTCCTCCTCTAACCGCCCCACACATGCATACAGGAACACGTACCTGCACACACAAGTGCACATATGCCTCCCTCCCTCCCTACCCCCCTTAAGGAAAAAAAAAGAAAGTTAAAAACATGCAACTACCACATAGCCCAGCCCTTCCACTCCTAGGTACATATCCCAAACAAAGAACACATCCATGCAAGTTTACAAACTAACATTCACAGCAAGATTAAAAAGATTCGAGAGGTGGACACAAGCTAAATGCCTAACAATGGACCACAGGGTAACAGAATGTTATCCACAGTGTGGAATATTACTCAGCCACAAAAAATAGGGTAGACTCCTGTAATCCCAGCACCTGGTAGTCTGAGGCAGGAGAAGTGCCTCAGACTGTGCTGCAAATTTGAGGCCAGCCTGGGCTACAAAGCAAGACAGTCTCTAAAGAACAGCAAAAAAAAATTAAATACTGGCATGTTACAAGGTGGATAAACCTTGAAAATATTACTCAAAGTGAAAGAAATCAGATATGATGACTACAGATTGCACAATATTTAGGGTAAATTACAGGGACAGGAGGCTGGCAGTACTTAGGGTGGGGGGGGAGTGTACAGTGTCTTCTAGGAAGAGAAAAAGGTCAACTATGGTTGTGTAACCCCATAAACACTTCGAAAAGCAAACCATATTCTCTCCTAACATAAATTTAAAAATGTAACATTCAGGGGCTGGAGAGATGGCTCAGTGGTTAAGAGCATTGATTGCTCTTGCAGAGGATCCAGGTTCAATTCCTAGCACCCACATGGCAGCTAACAATTGTCCTAACTCCAGTTCCAGGGGATCCAACACCCTCTTCTGACTTCTGCGGGCATTGCATGACACAGGTGCACTTACACACATGCAGGCAATACACTCATACAGATTTAAAAAAAGAAGTAACATTCAACTGCTGCTTTAACAGCCATACAGTCAACCAGCCTGGTGGCTTGTGCCTGTGATATGAAGCACGTGGAAAGCTAAGGCAGCAGGGCTGCAGTGAGTTCAAGGTAAGGTGGGGAATGCTGACTTCCAGCCTAGCCTGGCCTACAAAGCATGTTCAAGGCCAGTCTGGGCTATAAGGTAAGATCTTGTCTCAAGAAAACAAATACTAAGGATTGGGCTCATTGGTAAAGAACTTGACATCCTGTGGCCAGCCTCCTGCCAGGCTCTGAACTGCCCTGTTAGACTGGTGAACTCCCAGCCTCTGCTACTCGGCCCACAGACCCTGCTCTAGCCCACCTTCCCATGGTCTATCTGAACGCTGACTCTACAGTGACCCACCACTGTCCCAGATCCTCTCCTTGCAGCTGGCTCTCTCTTTCCTGCCGGTGGGTACCTCATGAGTACAATCCGCTGGGCCTGTATCTCTGGGTCCTTCCTCACTCTGTTGTCTCCACCTCTAGACTTTAATGGCCTGGCTCTATCACCTTACACTCTCTCAAATCTCAGTCTTCATGGGACTCGCTCTGCTCCTCTGAGCCAAGCCTGGAATTTCTCGTGGCCAGAAAGCCCACAGGACCACGCAGACCCACCTCAGTCCAGATTCAGAGCCTCCAACCCCCTCCAAGGCGACGTCAATGGTGCCAGTTTCCCTGTGCGGTTCCCTGCTACAGTCCCTCCAACCTCTCCCATTTCTGTCCTGAGCAGGTGACCTTGGTTCTGGCGGCTGAGGACAGGACCGCCAAGAAGTTCCACGACCTCCCACCTCAGTGCCCATTAACCAGCACAACTGTGGTCCCAGCCAGGGCAGCCCTGTTGGGGAACACCAGACCCCAACCCCTCACCTACTGCAAGCCCCTCTTTGAATTCTCACTCCAGGCCATGCCCCCTTCCACATCCTTAGCCCTCTGCCTTCTACTGAAGCAGTTACAAGTGCCTCCATCTCAACACTCTCCCAACTCTGTGTACCCTAAAATGAGCACACCTTGTTTCTGGGAGCTCCTCCCCATTTTTTTTCTCTCTAGCATCCTGACCCTAGCCCCTCTAACCACAAAGACCCTCAACCTGGCCAAGGACCACTGCCCATTATCAGCACTGCATGACAAAAATCTCTCTCCACGCCTCTGGCATACATCCTCCACCTGCCCTACACAGAACTCACACTCCCCATCTCCTATCTCCCACTGACCCTGCTTTAAGCCCTAAAGCCCAGGCTCACTGCTCAGCTTTCTCAACCCTCAGTGAGCTCACACAGCTGGGGACTTCAAACAGAAGCTGCACACAGAAGACTTGGAGCTTTCTCCATTCAGAGGCCTCTCCTCTCCTCAGCCAGCTACCAAAACAATGCTGCCAACTCACCCACCTGCACTACATCCATCTACAAAAGTCATCTCAAACTTAAGGACACTCCTTAACATAAAAGACATTCCTGATCATCCCCTCAAAACCTGACCTTCCCACCCATTTTGTCCTCCCCAAATGCAATCCAGATTCTAGCTCAAGCTACAATTTCAGCCGACCCACAACTCTTTCTCACATACCTATCATCCACAGGCCAAGCCCTATTGGCTCCATCTTTGAAAAGCATCTGGGATTTCACCTCCTATGACAGCCTCCACCGCTGGCACCCATCCAGGCCATCAGCTCTCGCCTGTATCATCTGCGACTAGTCTCCCAGTTCCAGTCTTGTGCCTCCAGCTTATTTCTAGCAGACTCCAAAATGACTTTAAGACACAAAATTTGTCCTGGTATGGTGCTATAGGCCAATCATCCCAGCTACTATGGAGGCTGAGGAAGGAGGATCTAGAGTTCAAGCCCTGTCTGGCTACATAGTAAGTTCAAAGCCAGCCTGGGCAACACCACAGAAATTGTATCTCAAGATTAATAGTAAAGCTGGAGAGATGGCTCAGTGACTAAGAGCATGTACTGTTCTTGAAAAAAATCTGGGTTCTGTCCCTAGTACCTACACCAAGTGGCTCACAGCCACTTCTAACTCCAGTTACAGGGGATCTGACATCTCAGGCCTCTGTGGGCACCTGTACTCACATGTACACACCCACATGCAGACACACAGACCCACACACACATTTAAAATAAAAATAAACGTGATTTTTTTTTAAAGTAAAGGGGCTAGAGAGATGGCTCAGCAGTTAAGAGCACAGACTCCTCTTGCAGAGGACCTGGGTTCAATTCCCAGCACCCACATGGTGGCTAGCAACCATCTGTAACTCCTATTCCAGGGGAATCAATCACTCTCTTCTGACCTCCATGGGCACTGCACAACATGGGTGCACTTACATACATGCAGGCAATGTCACGCATGTCATGCAATGCCTGCAGAGGTCACAAGACAGTGTCAGACTGCCCTGGAACCGGAGTTATGGATGGTTGTTAGCCACCATGTGGGTGCTGGGAATAGAACCCGGGTCCTTTGAAAAAGCAGCCAGTGTTCTTTAACTGCTGAGCATCTCTCCAGTCCCCTTTTTGGTTTTTTTTTTTTTAGAAAGAATTTCACTTGGAGGGCTGGAGAGATGGCTCAGCAGTTAAAAGCACAGGCTGCTCTTGCAGAGGACCCAGGTTTGATTCCAGCACCCACATGGTAGCTAACAACCATCGGTAACTCTAGTTCCAGGAGATCTAACACCTTCTTCTGACCTCCATGGGCACTGCACAACACAGTGCACATACATACATGCAGGCGATACACTCATACACATAAAGTAAAAATAATAAAAAGCTTTTAAAAAAAGGATTTCACTTGGTACCCAAGGTTAACCTTGAACTGGCAGTGAGTGATTCTCATGCCTCAGCTTCCAGGGTGGTGAGATTACAGGTGTGCACCACCACACCCAGTTTCCAAGGAAAAATACATGTGCAGAGGTTGGGTGAATAGATAAATAAGTGGATGAGTGGGTAGTTGGACGGGTGGGTGAGTGGATGGATGGATGAATGGATGGGCATGTAAGTGGATGGATAAATGACAGGTGGGTGGATGGATGGATGAGTGGACTGATGGATGAATAGATGGGTAAGTGGGTAGGTGGATGGATGGGTGGATGGATGGGCATCCAAGTTGATGGATAAATGACAGGTGGGTGGATGGATGAATGGATGAGTGCATGGATGGATGGATGGATGGATGGATAAGTGGGCTGGTGGATGGGTAAGTGGGTAGGTGGATGGATGGGCATGCGAGTTGATGGATAAATGACAGGTGGGTTAATGGATGAATGGATGAGTGGACTGATGGATGGATGGATATGTGGGTTGGTGGATGGGTAAGTGGGTATAGGTGGATGGATGGATGGATGGATGGACATGCAAGTAGATGGATAAATGACAGATGGGTGGATGGATGAATGGATGAGTGGACTGATGGATGGATGGATATGTGGGTTGGTGGATGGGTAAGTGGGTATAGGTGGATGGATGGATGGATGGATGGACATGCAAGTAGATGGATAAATGACAGGTGGGTGGATGGATGAATGGATGAGTGGACTGATGGATGGATGGATGGATGGGTAAGTGGGTTGGTGGATGGGTAAGTGGGTAGGTGGATGGGTGGATGGGTGGAAGGATGGGCATGCAAGTAGATGGATAAATGACAGGTGGGTGGATGGATGAATGGATGAGTGGACTGATGGATTGATGGATGGATGGATGGATGGATGGATGGGTAAGTGGGTTGGTGGATGGGTAAGTGGGTAGGTGGATGGGTGGATGGGTGGAAGGATGGGCATGCAAGTTGATGGATAAATGACAGGTGGGTGGATGGATGAATGGATGAGTGGACTGACGGATGGATGGATGGATGGATAAGTGGGTTGGTGGATGGGTGGATGGATGGGCATGCAAGTAGATGGATAAATGACAGGTGGGTGGATGGATGAATGGATGAGTGGACTGACGGATGGATGGATGGATGGATGGATGGATAAGTGGGTTGGTGGATGGGTAAGTGGGTAGGTGGATGGATGGATGGGTGGATGGAAGGATAGGTAGAGAGATGATAGGTGAATGAATGAGTGGGTGGATTGATGGATGGATGGGTGATCAAAGGATGGGTTGGTGAATGGATAGATGGATGAGTGGGTGGGTAGCAGGTGGGTGAGTGAATGTGTTGGTGGGTGGATGGGTAAAGTAGATGGATGAATGGCAAGTAAGTGGATGGATGAATGGGTGGGTAGACTGATTGATGGATGGATGGGTGGGTGGTTGAAGGACCGGTAGGTGAATGGATAGGTGGGTGAATGGAGGGTGAGTAAATGGGAGTGAATGGGGTAGGGGAATGGATGGATGAATGAATGACGGAAGCAAGGAGCGTGCTCAGGGTAGGAAGTAGCGGCAACACATCTCTTGGGCAGCCAGGACTGCTGAGTTCCAACTCTGCCCCGGAGCAGGAGCCCCAGCGATCGAATTTCCCGCCTGTCCCCCAGCTCGTCCCTCTCTCCCAGATCTCCCGGCTCATCACCTCCTGGTCCCCCAGCTTGTCCCCCGCCCCCCACCCGGATCTCCCAGCTCCTCCCTTCCCCCAGATCTCCCAGCTTGTAATCTCTGGGTACCCCCGCACCGCCCCCGACCCCGCACCCTGCACCCGTCTGGCCACGCACCTGTAGCGCCAGGCCGGGATACCTGCTCCACCGAACGCTCCCTGCAAGCTCCGCGCCTCAGCCCCGCGCCGTCCCGCCCTCTGACGGACGGCGCTTCTCATTGGACGAGCTCCGCGTCGGTCTTTCCGTTAGCCAATGGAAAGCGGTAACCCCGCAGGGGGCGGAGGACTGTAGGGCGCGGGATGTGGCGTCATCTCTCCGAGCCAGCACTTGCCGGAGGAGCTTCCAGTTGCCAAGGCAACTCGTGGAGGCCTGGACACGTGCTAGGCCTTGGGATGGCAGCCGGTAAAGCTTGAAAACCAGGTGTAGCCAGGCTAGTGGCTCAGGCCTGTCATCCCAGCAGAGGGGAAACTGAAGCAGGAGGATCAGTAGTCCAAGGCCAGCCTCGATCTCGTGGTGAGTTTGAGATAGCCTGGGCCACGTGAGACCCTGTTGTGATGCATACTTATAATCCCAGCACTGGGGACATAGAAGGAGGATGAGAAATTCAAAGGCATCCTGGGCTACATAGCTACTTAGGGGCCAACCTGGGATACATGATACCGTGTCTTTTTTCTTTTTTCTTTTTTTTTTTTGGTATTTTTGAGATGGGGTCTCCCTGTAGCTCCACCTGGCCTGGAACTCACTATGTCGACCAGACTGGCCTGGAACTCACAGAAATCCGCCTGCCTCTGCCTACTGAGTGCTGGGACTAAAGGCGTGCGCTACCTCGCCTGGTATGATACCCTGTCTTAAAAAACCAAAATAGGAAGCTGGAGAGATGGCTCAGTGGTTAAGAGCACTGGCTGCTTTTGCAGAGGACCCACGTTCAGTTCCCAGCACCCACATAGTGACTAACAACCATCTGTAACTCCAGTTCCAGGGGATCCTACATCCTCCTCCTGGGGCATTGCACATGAGTGGACCTACATACATGCAGGCATACACTAATATACGTAAAATTAAATATATAATAAAATATTTTTTAAAAAAACAAAATAGGGCCAGGGAGATGGCTTAGTGGTTAAGGGCGCTTCCCTTCAGGCCTGACAACCTGAGTTCAGTATCCAGGACCCACACAGTGGAAGGAATGGACTCCTGCTGTTGTACTCTGAAGTATGCAGTGGCACATGCACACCCTTGGCACCCAGGAAATAAATGTAAATAAATGACTACATTTAAAAAAAAAAAAAAAAAAGATCGGGGAGGGGGGTGCTGGTGTACACCTTTAATCCCAGCACTGGGTGTTAGAAATAAAATCTGAGGGCCAAGGACCCCATCAATACCGCATAAAGAACACAAGGACAAAGTGACAGTAACTCAGCAAGGCAGATTTTACTTTTGCACAAAAGGGTGACTTATGTGGGCAGTAAGATCCAGCAAGTACACACAGGACCCAGAGGCTTGGTAGGCTTTTATCCCAATGCAAGAGAACTGTGTCTTTTCCCCATTGGCTGGAGTTCAACCTCACAGTCTTTCCCAGTTTGGCTCTCCTTTGAAAGAATCAGCTTGAAGGGAGAAGAGCTTCACTACCCCAGGCCATCAGGTTCAGGAATGCATCAGGGCCTTTCCTTAAACAAAAATCTCACAGGATGTGGTGGGATTAAAAGATTAGGATTCCTTGTCATAAAGCAAGTTTCAAGTTTTACAGAGTTAGAAAGAAAAGACTAATTAATCTCCTGTTTCTTACAAATCAATCCTCTTATTTTTAAGAAAATAAGAACATTCTTTTCTTCAAACTCATTAAGGCATAGGTTCTCTTTCTGTTATATGTTGGAATAAGAAACTGCTATAGGGAGGGGACATTTGTTTTTGTAATAGCTTGACTCAATAAGGCTGAGCTAGGTCCCTTCCACATGGTATAATACAGGATTAGGACACCCATTTATCATTACCAAGGAAGTTAGCATAGAGCCTTATCATAAGACCTCATTTTCCAAACCATTCTTCCAGAAGACCAGAGAGTTTAGTTCTTTATAAGTGCCTTAAGATCTTGGAGTTAGGTTTGGAATTGTGATATTGGGGATAATATACAACCTTGTTCTCCCAACATTGCAGAAACCCCATCTTTTTCAGTTGAAATCATGTCTAATCCTAACCTATTCTCACTGTGTTGGTAGAGCTGAATGGGGGCATAGGTATGACAGTCAAGGTACCCCTCAAGTAAGTCTATCTAAAGGCTCCAAAAGTGCATCAGAGGCTTTATCTGTATAACTGCAGGATAAAGGTAGGAAAGAGACATGAGGGAGGAGAAAAGGCAAGAGTGTTACCAGTTCTAGGGAACCAGGAGGATTTTTTGATGGGCTCCATCAAAAAAGAGCATCCATCCATTGGGTTCCTCCTTATTTTTCTTTTGGCTTCCAAGGCTGGACTCCAGAGTGATGAACTCGGGGTTTGCTTTCAGGCACTGTGATAGCTGTTGGAGTGGCTAGAACCACAGCAAGTTCCCTCCCAAATGGCTTCTAGACAGGGAGAGTAAAGAAATTTAGCTATTATTTCTTGTCTCTTTGGGCTGCAGGTAAGTACTGCAGTGTCGAATCAGGCCAAGATTTGAAGCCTTATATCTGAGTAGCATTCTCTTATTAAGAATAAAATCATTAGTGAGGAAATAATTGCCTAGCCTAAATAACATCTGAACTTAAACCTAATATCTAGGAAGTGTAATCCCTTGAGATAGGGTCTCCCTATAGACCTACCTGGCCTGGAGCTCACTATGTAGAACAGGCTGGCCTTGAACTCACAGAGATCTACCTGCGTCTACCTCCCAAGTGCTAGGATTAAAGGCTTGAGCCACCATGCCCGGCTTAAAACCTTGGAATTGTAAAGAAGCAAACTAATCACTTTTTTCTTTAGTTATACTCTCATGTTGGGTATTTAAGACCATTCATTTGGCCTGAATTAAGCAATTTTTTAAAGGTCAGTTGAGGATCTAATCCTCAGGGGTCACTTAGGCTTAGGTGGAGCCTCTAACTCCTTTAGTCTTTTACCAGTTACTCCATCTATGTGAGGATAAGTCAATGGCCCATCTTTGACCATGACTCAGAAGTGTTGAGGAAACATTTCCCTCTGTGTTGACCCTCTTCTTTGTAGACTGGACACTGGTTCAAGTCCATCTGATGGGGTCTCCAGAGCCTCCCTGAACAAGAGGACAGGTGACTCACCACAATTACAGCACATTTCAAGAGATGTCCCATAGTCATCTGGGACTTAGTTGACCTTGGAGGACAAGGGGCAAAAGTATAGACCTCAAAGTATGGTTATTAAATATTCGAGGTTAGTTTCACCAGTCTGATACTTTTAATTACCATGTGATATGTAGATAAAGCTTGAACAAAAACCAAACATTCTTAAATAAACCTTGATTACACATAGTTTGTTCTTTAAACTAGTTGACCTTAGAAATTTTAAGATTATATATATATTATTTTTTCTCATTGTGTCCCAAATGGCCTGTTTCCTCCAAGGGGCAGGGCCTGCTGTGGAGAATTGACTGTGGAGAGTTAGCTGTGGAGGGAGGGGCTTTTCTGCACCATCTTGGAGAGGAGCCTGGAAGGCACTAGCAGTGGCCTGGTGCTCAAGAACTGAATGGCCTGGCATTTACCGACCTGGGGCAAAAGCTAGCAGTGACTATGGGTGGGCTGGGGAAGTGAGAATGGAATGGCAGGCTCTGAGCCACAGTGTAGAGCGTGAGCCACAGCGTGAGCCCTAGCGTTGTTTCTTTGTAAGCCACCCCCCACACACAATGGTATAAACTATAATAAATTCACATAAAGATATGTTATATGGTTTGTCTAATAGCACCCGGAGCAAGAGACACAGAGAGAACTTGGGCAACACTCATCTTTCATATAACAAACTTACTCAGACCCTAAATGTCCAGCCATCTTAATCTCATAACGTAAATCCTTTTAATAAAACAGCTCCATTTTCATATCCTTCTAACATCTTTCAACTTCTCATTTTCCTTTTTTTTAATTTTAAAAATTATTTTTATTTTATGTGTATGAGTGTATTGCCTGCATGTATGTGCACCCATGTCATGCAGTGCCCTCGGATGTCAGAGAGGACATCAGATCCCCTGGAACTGGAGTTATAGATGGTTGTTAGCCACCATGTGAGTGCTGGAACCAGGGTTCTCTGCAAGAGCAGGCAGTGCTCTTAACTGCTGAGCCATCTCTCCAGCCCATCATTTCCTTTCTTAATTCCATGAGACATAATAACATTAACAAATTGTACATCTGTAGTGAGAATTCTCTTCCTGGGGGTACTAAGCAATGTTTACTCTCTTTCTAAAGTTCTAGTGTCAAATCAATGTTTGATTACATTAAAGTTCACCTTAGGGAATCAATGAGCCTACTGAGTTTACTTACAGAGATGAGTGATGGGTTATTGAGAGGTGTTTGGGTGACCCGAGAGTAGTTGCACTGGAAAGGCTTTGCCCAGCATGGATGTTGAGTTTCTATATCTTCATGGCTCAAAGCCCCTCTTCCTAGCTTTCCTCAGATTATGTACTTCTCCCAAAATCCAGGAACCACATGTGATTGCAGCAGAATCACACAGCTGGCTGGGAAAAGTGACTGGATACTGAGGTGAAGGTGCAGTGACCCTGCTGGCCCCTCCTTCAGTGAAGGAGCACAATAGTCATCAAGCCCAGTTGTGATGCTCTTTTCTAAGCAGAGATAGCTGAAATCATGAAGATGGCAGTTCTTTGGCTCAGAAGAGTGCTATGCAGCATCATCTTATTAAAAGAATGTGGAATCCGAATTACATAAGATAATGTGTACATTGTGGCTTTATAAGTTCCCAGGTAAACCTTATAGAAAACACAAGACAGTTAAAAATATTCTTTACGGGGCTGGAGAGATGGCTCAGTGGTTAAGAACACTGGCTGTTCTTGCAGAAGACCCGGGTTTGAATCCAAGCACCTACATGGCAGCTAACAACTGTCCGTAACTCCAGTCCCAGGGGATTCAACAGCCTCTTCTGTCCTCCGTGGGCATTGCATGACATGGGTGCACTTACCTACATACAGGCAATACACGCATACACATAAAAATAATAAATTTAAAAAATTTTCTTTATGTAGTTTAGAGAGTGGTCTACCAAAACCTTGCTTTGGGCT